GAAAGCGCCTTGCAAGACGGGAGGTGTTTGTCGGCCGAAGCACCGTTGTCCCCTGGGGGAGTGAAGCTGCAGGGCTGGGCTTTTGCTGTGTGTGCACATGCGCACACATGCACACACACACGCACACTCACACTCAGTCCCATAGAGACATATACTCACACACACACCCACAGGCACACTCATACACTCAAACTCTTGCACACACACACACACTCAGTCACAGACACATAGTCACATGGAGGCACACAAACACAATGCACTCCCACACTCCCACACACTCACCCCCACACATACACTCACACGCATTTACCCACACACTCACACTTGCACACACGCACTCACCCACACTCCCATTCCTAGGGGCACGGTCATTCCCGGGTGTGAGGCCCCCTCTGTCCTGCCTCTGTCCTGGTCACCTGTCTACCCACTGGCTTGGGGACAGGTTGTTGATACCAGCAGGCTACAGACGCCATGTAGCCAGGTGCGGCTGGGCGCAGCCTGTTTGTTTGTGGTTGTCCTTGGTAACGGTGACTTGGCCCCATATTGAGTGCGACAAGTCCATAAAGTGGTTCTGCAGCGGGCCTCTTGGGGCCCTCTGGGGCTTTCTTAGTCACTAGTGGGCGCCTTCCTACACCGTCCCCTGTCGTCACCCCTACTCCTGGGTACTCCTTCTGGTGAGAAAGGGGAGCTGTTCCTGGCAGGAGAGGAAGGTAGAATTTGGGCCCAGCAGCCATCTCTTCTCCTCGCTGGGATGCTGCCACGTAGCTGGGCCTCTTTGGAACTCAGCGCCCAGGCACAGACGGGACGCTCACTGGCTCTCTGCGTAGTGGTGAGGGCCTGTGAGAGGACCTGCAGACGCAGAACTTGGCTGCTGTGACTGGAGCATGCGCGGTTGCTGAGCCGTGGGCCTCGCCACGAGTGGGCCCTGGTGGAGGCAGCATGCCCTGTTCTCGTCCCCCTGTGGCTTGCTCAGCCCACTTTACAGAGATGGGAAGGTGCTTGATGATGGAGGAGCCTACCCAGACCCCCAGGGCACTGCCACGTCCCCCTCTGTCACACTGGCTGTGCACTCCCAGGCCACGAGGTAGAGCTCAGGGTTTGTGGCATCCATCTGTAGGGTGGTCCTGAGGAATGTGGTGGCATCGGGACCCTCCCAGAGTCCCGAAGCGTGTGGTGGCCACCTGCTGGGTCTTTAGCTCCATCAATGAGATGGGACTAGCGCCTGAAGATCCTGGATGCTAAGGAAACAATGGTTCCTTCATGCCGAGGAAGGCCAAGGCAACCTGGAAATGATCCAGCACCACAGCATGTCCTTTTGTCAAATGAAAATAGCAGAAGAACCGGATGGCACTGCAAGGCGTGTGGTCAGAGGTGGCACTGGAGGTGAGGAGAGGAAGCAGGTGAGTGTGCTGTGCTGTTACTGACCTGACCTGAACCCTGGACGGTCACCCACAGTGTGGTTACCTGGTGTCTCCATCCTGAGGAGATGCTGCTCCCGAGGGGGAGGTGGGCGGGTCTTGCAGGTCAGAGGGCTGGTGCAGTGGCCTGTGGAGAGTCTGGAGCTGTGTGGGCAGGTCGCTTGGGTGCAGTGTGTCCAGAGAAGCTGTGCACTTCTGCCTCTCTGGTCAGGCTGAAGAGCAAGGGAACACCCAAATCTCCAGGACATGCAACCAGGGGCTGATTGCATAGATGCTCAGGTCCCTAATGTGGAGCAGCGTGGTTCATGTGAGGACATGCGTGTGTCCTGGACCCTCGCTCCGTGGGTCTGCCGGACTATGGTCAGCTGCCTCCCTCTTTCTTATTCTAAGGGAGGAAATGTAACATGAAAATCCAGTCTGTTTCATGTAGTTCCCGTCCTGGGATTCAGTTCGAGCCACAGAAGAGGAACACGTGCCCCGTGTGTCCACTTGACAATGGTCTTGACTAAATGAGGTGTTTGCAGTTCTCGATGTGAAGATGAGTTTTCTCTTTACCGACAGGTGGCTTCCCCCACTCCCGACCATACCCTTTTCTCTGAGTTGGCTCTTCTTGTGCACGTTCATTTGCAAATTCGTTCTCACTCAAGTCTTTCCTCATTTACTGTCTGCATTTCTAATGGTGCTCATAAAAGCAGACAGTAGGGGTTGTAATTGGTTCTCTCCACGAGAGGCTCTTTCCTGGCAGGAATGCGGCCATGGAAGTGCAGAGAATTGCTGTCTGTCATTTGCTCCGCTGACCTGGGGAGCCTGCTCACCCCCTACCACGTCCCCACTCACTTTGTAACGAACAGTATAGTCTATGCCGTTTGTGTTAGTGACCGTCTCCTTCCTGAGGACTTGTTCACTTTGTTTAATAACGTGTTACTGTGAGGAGCAGCGAGTGCCTGGTGGGAGAAGACACTCAGGAAAATTGCGTTGAACCAATGATGGAGTTAGACAAGGTCGGCGTGCAGACTGCAGAGCCTTAGTGGTGTCAGCCATGGCTGGGATTGTTGTGATGGGTCGGGGGAGGTGGGACTCAGGCCGCCCCAGCACGCAGAGCACTCTCTCGTTGTCTGGAGATTGTCCTGGGGCCAGGGCAGGTGGGCAGTGTCACTGCACCCCGTCTGGACACAAGGGTGAGTGGGAGGTGCAGGGCACACCTGGCCTTGGAGCTGGATACCTGGTGGCTGCTGTCTTTATAACTCAAGCTTAGGATATCGCAGAGGGCTTGTGCTTCTGTTCTCTCAAACACGTGCTTCCCAGACTGTGAATTAAAAAAATAGTTCATAGACTTTATTTTTTAGAACAGTTTTAGATTTACTGAAAAATTGAATAGATAGTACAGAGAGTTCTTGTATATCCACTCCCCTGCCGCCCCTCGTAGTTTCCCCTAGTATAAACATTTTGCATTACTTTGTTACACTTGATGAGCCAATATTAATACTTTTTTATTAATCAAAGCCCATAGCTTACGGGTTTGGATAAAAGTATCATGACATGTATCCATCATTATAGTATCACACAGAGTGGTTTCATTGCCCTAAAAATCCTCTGTGCTCCACGTATTCATTCCTCCTCCAACCCCTGGCAACTACTGATCTTTTTACTGTCTCCGTAGTTTACTTATTCCAGAATGTCATAGAGTTGGAATCATACAGTTTGTGGCCTTTTCAGATTGGCTTCTTTTACTTAGTAATATGCATTTAAGATTCTTCCATGTCTCTTCATGGCTTGTTAGCTCATTACTTTTTAATGATGAATAATATTCCATTGCATGGAGTACAGATAATGATTCTTCAAAGGCAGGAGCTCCAATGGCTTGCATATTTCTCACCAGTATGTCAAACGTTTACTGAAGCACCAGGACCCATGTGTGCTGAGTGGAAACTGTACAAGGGGTGAAATTAATCACAGTGCTCCATTGACCACGGGGTCTCCTTGTCTGACTGCCACCACCATGCTATAAACATCTGTTTATAACTTCCTATATTTTGAAAGCCAATTTTTTGTTTGTTTTGTTTTGTTTTATGTTTATTTTCTCACTTATTTCCTCATCCATTCGTCAAAACTCTAATATATATGGAGCAGAGGCCACACAAATGAAAAAGATGTGTTCCTGAGACAAGAAGTCTCAGTGTAGGGGGAAGCCAACCATTAAGTCAGTGATTCTGGACAGTGAGAGGGGCTGCTATATGTGTGGGGAGGGGGCAGCTAGGTGGGGGCGGGGAGAGGATGGAGTGCCAGGAGAGAGGGCCACTGCCCCAGACGAGATCATGACTCAGAATCCTGGTGGAGTAATAATATGTCCCAGACAAATCAATGACTATGTCTCATATTTCTTGAGGAACTCACTAAGATAAGCAAGAGTGTTATAAATAGTCACCATGGCAAGAACCAAGGTCACGCTGCCGCCCACTCCAGGCCACAAGGACAATTAGTCAGATCCCTGGGATTTCTCCTTCCTTTGCACATTTTCAGAAAACTCTTTGAGGATGGGGTACAAGGGGTCCAGGGAGAGGAAAGCCAGGAAGCAGCTCACGGGTAGCTGAATCCTGCTCGCGCTTGCCAGGGTCCTGGCCTTCCAGAACTGCACAAAGCGAGTCTGATCCCCTCACCCACCAACAGCCCTTTCTCTGCAGGGAGTGTCCCCTGAGTGTGGAGAACCTGCCCTGTGCCAGCCCCTGTTCTGAGCACGACACGCTCTTATGACCTCCAGTTCTCAGATGCAGAAACTCAAGCCCAGAGTGATTGAAGCCCAGGTTCCATGGCTAGTAAATGGGGGAGCAGAGGTCCGACCAAAGGCAGATTCCAAAGCTGGGTTCTTGATCTCCGTTGGGTCAGTCGTCCCGGGTGCCCATAACCGTGTCTCTCGTGACTCAGTTGTAGCTGTGGCCTCATCACACTTGTGTGTGTCTTTCTTAATGTACTCTTGGTTCCTCAGAGGACCATGGTAGAGTCAAGGGAACTCCTTTTCGCCATCCCGTGCACCAAGCACTGAGCCTCGAACAAGATAACCACGCTGACATTGCCACATTTAGACTCTGCTTTCAGTTTCACTTGTGGAAATAGTTCTAGAGAAGGCAGCCCATTTTGCAGAGAATGTAAGCCCTGGGTGTGATTGTGAGGCATGGGGGCGGCCTGGAGACCCCCAGGCAGAGTCCTCCACCTCCTCCTCCTGGCCCTGCTCCCCACACTATGTGGTGAGGAGCGACCTGGACTGGCTGAGACGTTCCTAGACTGGGAGTCCACTAGTGCTTTGAAATGGAAGAGGAAATTCTGTATATGTGAGTGAGGGGCGTTTCTCTTGGAAGGAGGTTCCATGGTTTTCGTGAAATGCTCTAAAAGGACCTAGACTTTACAGAAGTGAACAAAAATCTGGCCTCTGTTAACTCGAGATGAGGACTGTCTGTCTTGAGGTGCTGAAACCTTGCAACTGTGAACGTGGTCAGAGATAGTCTCAGCTTTGGGAGCCTCGCTTGATCGTCATGCCAAGTTTTTTCTTGAGAGCCCATCTGCTTATTGTGTTTCTTCTCCCTTTAGGTGGTGATTCCCCGCCGTGTGCAAGTCCACCTGGAACAGGTAAGTCCTTGGCATTTCTTTGGGGGCCATTGTACCGTCCTGCTTGACTGTCTGTTTATGCTGTGCCTTCCTGGGGAGTCTTTGGGCTCCCTCTTGGATCCACTTCCTCTGTCTGAGCTGTCACTTTGATTCACAGAGCTCTTATAGGGAGACTTAACCACAACGCACTAGCCATTTTCACGCTTTCCTTAAGAAGAGAGACTCATGCACTGGTTTGTAAGAACTACCTTTCACATCAGTAATAGTTACCTTCAGGGATTCATTTCCTGGAGCCTGAGTTTCCTCTGCTGTAAAGGGAAGATGGCACATATCCGTTTTCTTTGTTTTTCTTTTTCTTTTTTGGTGAGAAAAGTTAGCCCTGAGCTAACATCCATTGCCAATCCTCCTCTTTTTGCTGAGGAAGCTTGGCCCTGGGCTCACATCCCTGCCCATCATCCTCTACTTTTTATGTATGGGACACCTGACACAGCATGGCTTGATGAGCGGTGTGTAGGTCCACGGCCGAGATCCAAACCTGCGAACCCTGGGCCGCCAAAGCAGAGCTCGCGAACTCAACCACTATGCCACCGGGCCGTCCCCTACATATATCCATTTTCTTAGCAAAAAAATATAGCAGTAAAAATGTGGGCAAAGTACCTGCATCACAGAGCGTCTGTGTGGGAGCGTGGTGCGATGGCTTTGGAACAGGAAGCTCTGACAGATGCCATCTTTCTATCAGGGTGAAGGTAAACACAGTAATAACACTTTCTCTTTGGCTTGCTGTTAAGTAACTATGAATTGCTGTCTGCCTTTTAAACTCCATTGGACGTCATGATATTTTCTTTGCTGCCCCCATTGGATGAGGAGGTTAAGCCTTGTGCTAATGACGTGTTAGTAGCTTGCAGAACACCTGCTGGCTCATGCACTTCCAGGACAACAGGAGACTGACGACCCTCTTCTTTTATTGCAAATCGGAAGTGACTCCCTGTGGGGAAGTGTGTTCCTTTCCCAGCCTCACTTGTGAGGGAAGGAAACAGGTGTGCCCTGCTGCCTCCTCCAGGGTATCTGTTGGGTGTGTTCCCCACACTCCCAAACTGGATGTAGCACCATGCCCTTGGCCCTGGTTTTGTATACAGAATCCAAAGTTCTGGTGAGGATTTTCCCCGTCTTCCTGCTTCCAGTGTCTCTGTTGGCTGACGCCCAGCAACCCCTCGACCCAGGGCTGGTTTTTCCCTGCGGTAGCTGTGGACACTGTCTAAGGGGCTTGGTTGCGTGGCAACTGTCCTGTGTGTGGCTTTCTCCTTAAAATGTAGGGAGTATTGTCTACTCTCTGGCTGCTAGAGGAATAAGCTGTGGGATAGATGTGGGCAGCCTGGACTGTCTTATACCCTTCTGCCTCCCTGTGCTGGACAGCCTGGTGTAAATGGACTGGGTTTGTCCAATTGAGCTTTGGTCAAGGGCTTCCACCTATATGGTGTCACTTCTCAGGGCAGAAAGCACAGAATCCTTTTTCTCTCCTGGCCCTGCATTGGCCGAGAACCTTCCAGTACTGTGGGCCTGGCATTTCGGATTGGCATGGACGTGCCTCCAGATAATGCCAGCACTCCTGGTGTGACCTGGGAATCTCTGGGCCCGTGCAGGTCCTGGCCAGGCCACCTGAGATCCTGTTTCCATTTCTTTCTTTGTTGCATCTACAGAGCGTCTATTCTGTGTCAGACACTCGGTTAGACACATTTACCCAGAAGGTCACCTTAACTTACTCGCTTGAGACATGAAGAACCTGGGGCTGAGAAAATTGGGTTCACTTCCAGAGGCCATGCAGACGCCGAGAGGCTGTAGCCTCTGGTCTTAGCATCTTTTGCTTGCCCCCGGCTGTACCTTCTCTATGTTAGAGATCAGACAGGTTTGTTGGCGCTGCTTCTCGTTTTTTTATATGCCACATTTTTAAATCAAGGGTAACTTGTGCAGGAAAAAAACCCTCATATTCTGTCAGTGGAGTTTGAGGGGAAATTAGGGGTTATTTAGGGCCACCAGTTTTCAGACCCTGGTGTGGTATTTCTGGCCCTTGGTGCCTCGTTCATTCTCAGAACGCCCCTGTGTGATGGGCATCCTGAGTACCTTCCCCAAGGTGGCACTGCTCATAAATGAGAAAGCAACCAGCGGGGATTCGGCTGTCAGATGCCCCTTGGCCAGGCCACCCCGTCCCCAGTCCTAGCGCTCCCTGAGCCGATGCACGCAGGGTCCATACATCTCTCCCTGTTCCCCCTTCCCTCCCAATCCATCCTCTTTTATTATCGGTGGTCATGGGGACTCATCAGCCTTCCAGGTTTGGGAGCAGGTGATCTGCTTCCTCGTCCACCTGAGGCTGTGATTGGTGGATGGCTCTGGAGTGTGAACACCCCTTCCTGCACTCAATGTCCGGCCCTCTGACCTGGCTGCCTTTCTGCTCCCTCCTGTGCCAGGGGCCCCTCTTCGTGTAGTGTTCAACTGCTCTGCAGATGTCATCTGAGTTCCATGAGCCCTTCCGAGAAGTTCCAGAATAGCTTCACCTCAGCTTGTTCTATCCCTGTGAGCTGCCAGGTCTGCCTAAATTGCTGGGACAGCTTTGGCTTGCAACATGATTGTCTGAAATATTTGGGCATAATTCAGTGGTACCAGCCGGAGAGGAGGAGTCGGTGATGGGCCGTGCCAGCAGGATCTGACGACATCCTGTGACTGACTGTAGGGGTCCCTGCACTGATGACGTTATGTTCTGCGAGAGTCTTGGCTGCCAGGCAGGGGCACCTTTGCGACCACCTGGGCATTTGGGACACACAAGGGAAGAAAGCTTTGTGTGGTTGTCGTGCTCCGAAGGCTGTTTGCCTTGATGCCTGTTTTTCTGTGATTTTTCTGGAAGCAGATCGTTATTCTGTTTATTGCGATGGTTTAAAAAGTGGAGTGTGAGGTTCAATTAATACACAGACCAAAAATGGCAGGGAGTGGGGCTGAGAAAAAGATCTGAGAGCCAAACCTCCCTTTGTAAATGTTAGCTTAGCTGATGAAACATGCAAACAGGCTCCGAGTTTCCTGGAAGTCAGTGTAAAAAGGAAACCACATTATTGGTATGCGCCTTATCAGCTAGGAGGGAAAAGACGAATCAGTGGAGAAAGTGTGCCATGTGGGAAATAACGCAGGGTGTTGATGGAAGCTGGGGGTGTATCCTGAACCACAGCCGCGTGGCAAGTGCTCCCGCCTGTGCCCCGGGGAGTCGAATGATTGTTTTACAGGAAAGTTAGACACAAGCTTTGAAGTGCAGCCTCATCAGGGTCTTCTGCTTTGTGTGGCTGCGGCCGTTGATACAGCATTTAGAAACAGAAGAGGATAACTGGCGGTTTTATCATCTGTCTCACACTTGTATGGCTTGTGGGGAACATGATCTACTGCATTGTAAAGTGGATGCTTCATCATTTTTCCAGATAACTGTGATCATTAGAGATGGGAGAGGTGGTCGGCTCTTTGAGACTGAGTCACGCATCTGTTCTGGCTGTTTCTGTAGATCTACATGTTTGGGGACACCAACCATGCATACTCACATGTACATACAGGCATGGGGTATCTTATTGAGTATGAGCTTGGGGCTTGAGTCAGGTTGGGGTCCTGTCCAGGCTGTGATGCTAGGAGAGCCACGTGACCTTGAACGGAGTCCTCCCACTTCTGGGCTCCACTCTCCTCTTCTGTAAAATGGGGCTGCTGTCACCTTCCCTGTGGAGTCCTGTAAAGATGGAATGAAATAACGTGCGAATCCTTAGCACTGGCGATGGCATAGAGGAAATGCACAATGCGTGGGAGAGGCCTTATTCAGTGAACTCAAGAGGGCAGGAAGGTCTTTTGGTCCCGCAGCATTTGCCGTTTGTTTTGTTTTTGACCATTGTTCTCTTGCCATCTGGTGGGAGAGAACCAGTTTGATCAGTTCCTGAACGTGTCATCTGCTGCCAGAGAGTGAAGGCACCTTGACAGATGGTTATGAGACCTCGATTCTCTTAACCCCTCATTTGCAGACTTAGAAAAAGTCAAGAAGCCAATGGAAACGAGGCTGTGGTCAGGTTGTGGGTGGCTCGAGCCTCCAGCTGGTAGTTGGTGGGTTGATGGCAGGATCTTTTCACGGCACAGGCCTCACAGGGCTCTGAACTTGGTCCAACAGCTATTTATTGACGTTCTAGGTGCAATGGTGTTTGTTTTTCCATTTTATCTTTGCCTTTTATACACTATCCGAGGGAGCTGATTCACGTTAGTGCACCACTGGATCTGGATGCTCTCTGCTGGGTGTTAGCGTGGCTTTCCTTGGACACTGTTGAGTCCACATGTGTGAACCAACCACATGCCGGGGTTCGTGGGCAGCGCACAGCGGCCTTGGTCCAGGGTGGGCCCGGGAGCAGCCAGCCTGGTGGTGGAAGCACCGCCTGCTCTGCGCCTGAGAAGTTTGCTCTTTTCAGAGTGGCTGCTGTCCTTGCAAGAGGCCGTGGCCACGTGTGGGAGGTGTTCAGGGCAGTGCCAGCCTCAGCTTAGGACACCAGTGCAAGCCCTTGCCTGGCTGCTGGGCTCACACACCAAGTGATTTTGCTTGGCCGTTGTGGTTTCTCGCGCTGGAGGAGAGGTTGTATAAGAACAGTTCCTGAAATTTGAGTCAGCTGTTTACTGACTCATGTGGCTTCACTGCTCTTTGTTTAATTAAAGTGAAGACAATAGGTGGTTTCTGTCAGAGGTGACATTAGAAGTCAGATTACACAGTCTGAGACCGGGGTTTCCAACATGTGTTCTGTTAGCTACGCTTTTGTATTTGTGGGCATGTATGGTGTGTGTGTGTACATGCATGCATGATGTGTGTGCATACACGCATGGTGTGTGTCTCTGTGCGTACATGCATGCTCAGTGTATGTTGTGAACATGCATGGTGTGTGTGCATGTGTGTGTATATGCATACGTGTGTGTGCTTATGCACAGCATATGCACCTGTGAATTTCTGCCTGGTGTACGTATGCATG